GAATACTCACAAATTACTGACAGAATTTTAAAAAAATTGAAATCTGTGATTGTTCCGGTAGTTTTAAGTATTTTTAGCTATATGGTGCAATATGAGTATTCAAGCAGATTCATTTTATTTCTTTATTTATTATGATGATTGTATATCTTCCTTTATTGTTAAAATATACTGATTTCATGTTTACTCACAGGAGAAGTGCATAGTGGATGATAGTCAAATTTGTTTTTAGTTCCATGTGTCAGTCTCAGTGTCTGGCTGTATTATTTCTATTTACAAGTGAAAGAAAAACTCTATCTTCAGCCTCTTTTTCAAAGCCTTTTAGCTTTTCAAAAGCTAAAATACTCAAAGTCTTCCCTCCTGCCTACGTGTGGAGGAGAGGACACTTCTTGTCATTGCAGGAACAGAAGTGGGTGAACTTAAAGCCTTTTTGACTTAAGGTTTGTATCTACAACACTGGCCGATTGTTCTCCTGTTCCTTAAGTGAAGGTTCATGTAAAAATTCTGCATATTTCAAAGCAAGCAATAGTTAGAAAAAAAAAAAGACCTCCACAGGAATGAATGTACAGAAATTTATTTTCTGCTGAGTCCCTAAGCAAATTTACAAATCATATCACTCAGCCATTAACTGCATTTACTTGTAGAGCTTACTCTATAAACTATCTTAGAAGTAAACTTCCAGTGTTTTTTGAGGTGAAAATTGGTTGTAATATATTGTTATTGCTTTGAATTGACAAGATTTGTATAAAAAATATATAAATAAAGATACAAAAAAATGTATGCAGTGAAGAACAACAATACCTAAGATGTTGTTTATATAGCTTATATAGCTTAATCTTAATGTAGTTTGTAGTCATGAGTAATTGTGCAAACAGCGTTCCTGGGTCATGTAAAGAAGGGAGGTTATAAATTTATCCTTCAGTTTCCAGCATCTGAATTTAGACCGATTCTTTTTGGCACTGAGATCCCTCTGCTATGTGACAGATAGGGACAGTAGTGTGAGCCGAAATTACACTTCAGCCATTTCAGGGTTGCTGTAGTGCTCCAACAGTACTGCTATACTGCTCCTGGAATAGCACAGAGGGTTGCATGTAGTAAGAGTACCCTAATAACCGTGCAGCAGTGCTGGCACATTTCTAGAGACTGAAAATATTTTTAGCATTTCCCTCCTCCCTCTCGTGTTAGTTATATAGAGTTTCATCATGCATATGATATTGTGTCTGAAGCATTGTCCTCAGTCCTTCTGCGCCCAGAATCAGTTTGTTAGTTTGCCCTCTTATATGTGCTAATGGCTGTAGTTGCTCTGAGGGTCTTTATTTGAAAGTGTGTGAGCAGTGAGTAATATAAATGGGGCTAGTACAAGTGAATCACTTCTAGCTGTGATAAAGCAGAAAACGGTAGTACCCTTTTATGAGCATTTACTCCTGTAAAAGCCGTCAGCTTCTAAAATTAGGCCTGAAATACCATCACGGGAAATTCTTCCCTTTAGGGCTTGCCCTTTTCAGTTTACGTTAATCTTTCAGATAGAAGCACTTCCCTTTATTGGTTACATGAATAAACCATTGGACTTACTTCAGAGATAGCGCCTAATTTAAAGGTGAGATTGAATCAGTTGTTGAAATTAGTCTATTTGGAGAAGCTTAAATAGCTTCACATATCTTGATGTCTCAATGAATTGGTTTTCCCCCCCCTTCCATTTTTTTATTTTGGAGGGAAGGAAATCATTATTTTAGCAAAGAAAGGAGGAGCGAAAACTTTTAAATCACAAATGGCAGCGTCACCTTTACGTGCGCCTTTTCTTTGTTGCATTTTCATGTAATGGAAGGTTATTTAATTGTAACTGATGATGATAGAAGCCCTACTGAAATCGGTTTTCAGAGTTGTTTAAAAAAAAAAAAAAAAAAGCCCCTTGGTTAGAAAGAGGCAGAAAAATTGGAGGCATCCTTTAATCATCAGGAAATGACTGGCCAAGGCCAACAGCAGTAACTTAATGGAAACGTAGGAGGGCCAGGTGCTCACTTTGTGTAAATTGCCAGCAACAGCTGGAGGTGACTGATAACGTTTTAGAGTGGAATCTCTCATCGCTAGCCCCAACAGTTTTCTTGTCTCTCAGATATGTTATTTGGAGTGTTTAACTGAATGAAGTACTACCTGGGAAATTCTTCTCTAGAG